GTACACCTGAAATAAAAATGAAGACCTACTTCATAAAATGCTCCTTTTATAGCCTCTGTGCACTGCGATGGGATTGAAGGTTGACGCTCCAGACTTCCCCATGAGTGAATGCCTGTGGGCTGGTCTTGAAGCTGTTTTCTTTGTGGTTTGCCTCCTGTCCACTGGGAAGCCCATGCTCCTTTCATTTTCATTCTTTTCCAACTCCAGTGCTTTTGAACACAGAACCCCCATCCTCCCACCACCCAAACTCCACATTCCAGCCCCATGATTTCATGGTACCAGGCGTATCTCCCCTGCCATGCCGTCAGGCTGCCTGCTGACTCTTGCAGGGGAACAGACGGGAACATAAACTCACCACAGAAGAGCAAGCCACTCTCTGTATATTTTTAAGACCAGGAATCCAGTTCTCATTTAGAGCCTGTATTTTTTTAATAGCTCCTTGAAAATTGAACAAAACATTTCTTGTTGCTCTTATTTCTTGATAACATCATTCCCTCTGCCTGGATGTATAGAATCACAGAAACTAGAGAATGAAAAAGACGTATTAGATCATGTCTAGTTCATTCCCACTGGTCACAATTCTTTTTTCCCACAGTCTGTCCTCTAGTGCTTTCCTCTTCTAGTTTTCTCAAGAATTCATTTCTCCATTTCTCCTGGGGAATAATTCCTTAGTTTGAACATGGCGGAATTTATGTGGAAATATTCATATTCTAGTCCTTATAATCCTTTACATGACCATAAACAGTTCCCTTTCATCCTAGGTCAAGCATTTCTGGATTTTTTTTTTCCTCTCTTCTATTTATTAAGTTCAGAGCTTGTTTTTCTGCTTTGCTTTCTCTCTTCATCAATCAGGCCCTAAAGCCCATTAATCATTTTTTTTTTAAACCTCAGTGAAAGCTCCTTTGCTTATTCCCATATCAGGAACCCAGGGCTGGTTTAGGTCCTAAGGTCCTAGAGGAAGCCTCATTGATATGTACTTATTCTATGCTAACTTTTCTCTCTCCCTCTCTCTACCCTCTCCACCCCCAACTCCCTGCCTCAGTTCTCAATTACAAACCGTTTTTAAAATAGTGTCTCTAAATTGTGATTTGGGGAGTTAGTCATTCGAAAGCCTCTTGTGTGTGTACGTGTGTACGTGTGTATGGTTTTAAGTGGTAAGATTATATTTGTTCTCAGTTACTTAGAGGACATTTTTCATATTGTCAGAGCCACAAATCTTTTCGGTCTCCTGAGTGGTTGGATCAAATACAATTCTGGGTCATGGAATTATGATGTAGCATTCTATTTTATGGCTGTCATCTCAGGAGCAGAGAGGACAACAAGCAAATATGGGGAAAATAGGCTGTATTTGTAGGATTTGAAATTCTTGGGGAAAGAGAAGGGCAAAGTAAGTAGCCTTGGCAGTCACATACCTAAAGTAGATTAGCTTTTAGGAGATAATGTTAGATATAATGTTAGATATAGATATATAAAATATAATATTAGGTTAAGACTTTAAAATGTCATTCTTTTCTTAATTTTAGCTTTATTGATGTATACTTGACAAAGAAAGTTAGAAGATATTTAAAGTGTACATAGACCATGATGATTTGATATACACTGTGAAAAGGTCCTCCTCCCACCTACTTAATTATTAACACAACCAACACTTCATGTGTTTATCTTTTTGTGTATCAGATATCTATGAGCATTTGAGTTCTACTCTCAGCAATTTTCAATTATACAATACAGTGTTATCAACTATAGTCATCATGTTTTACATTAAATCCTCATTGGTATGTGGTTTTCTAGATTGGAGGACCCAATATTATAAACATGTTGGTTTTCCCCAAAGCAATCTATGGACTCAGTATAATCCCAGTCACAAACCCCAAACAAGTTTTTTTTTCCTCTTGCAACTTAAAAAGATGACTGTAAAACAGAATGAAAAGTGTAAAGTACCAAGGATGGGTTAGATACTCTTGAAGAAGAAGAAGAAGGTAGAAAGACTTGCTCTACCAGGTCCCAGGACTTAATAAGAAGGCAGCTGCACTTGATACTGGTCCAGACGTAGACAAATAGACCAGTGAACCAATGAGGCAATAAAAAGACCCAGACGTGTAGAGATACTTGACTTATGCTGAAGTGGCATTCCAGAGCAGTGGGGAAAGACAGTCTTTTCAATAAATGGTTTTGGAGCAATTATGTAGCTATATAAGGGGAAAAAAGGGGAGAGAAAAATAAAGTGGATGCCTACCTCACACCATATGCAAAAAAGGACACAGACAAATGTAAAAACTAAAACTTTAAAGCATGCACATACATATGCTTTATATTTATGTACATGTATACATGAACTCAGGGTATTGAAAGATGTCTGCGATGGCAAAATCTGTAGTCAAAAATTATATATTTGGTAAAATTAAGAACATCTCTTCATCAAAAGATAACATAAAGGCAAATAGCCACACAATGAGAGAACACATTGGCCACACACGTAATTGACAAAAATATTAGGATCCAGAATATACAAAAATTCTTAAATCAATAAAAAGACAATCCAATCTGAGAAAAGCAGGCAAAGTAACTTGAATAGGCTCTCCACAGTTGAAGAAATAAAAATAGCTAATAACCATAAGAGTTCTCAACTTCTCTAATAAGTAATCAAAGAGATGCAACTAAACCATAAGGCAGTTCTACCTTCTATCACCAGTTAACTAAAAATAAAACTACTGGCAAAGTGTTGGTGAGGATGTAAAACAACAAGAATTTGTGGTATAAATTGTGAATTGCTACATACTTAGGAATAATTTAGCACACTGTAGTACAATTAGAGACACATATGCATACCTTATGACCCAGCAATTCTACTCCTAGCTATATACAGTACAGAAACTTGGCATTTAATACACAAGTATACATGTAAAAGAATTTTTTTCTTTTTTTTTTGCAAATTTTCAGACTTATAGAAAAGTAGCAGGATAGTACACTGAAGTTTTAATAGATGGTAGCCAGTCAAAACACAGTAGCTAGTGGAAGGAGTGTGCATGAGCTTTGAAGTCAGTGATACCTGGCTTGAAGTTTCAATTCTACATACTAGTTGTGTGACCCAGGGCAATCTATTAAATCTGTGAGCCTCAGTTCTCGCATCTGCAAATGGAGGTAATCACATGCCTACCACACTGAGTATTATGAGGATTAAATACATTAATATGTATAAAACACTGAGCATACTAATGAAACTTACAAGCACCTGCAGAGCAAAGGAAACCAGAAATAAAACAAGAAGAAAACCTATGGAATGGGAGAAAATTTTTGCAAGTGAAACCGACAAAGGCTCGATCTCCAAAATATATAAGCAGCTCATACGACTCAATAAGAAAAAATAAACAACCCAATCCA